ATGTGCACCACTGATTTGGAATCAGGCTTTTTCAACTCTCTTGGGTGTATTCTCCATGTCTACCAACCAGGTTAAAGCGCCGGACATTCGCTTTTCGTCCTCTCAATTTTGTAAGCAACAGTAATGCCACGAGGGCGAGTAGGACATCCCTGGTAGAGGCTATATACGCGTGGCCATGTGAGAGCATTTCGAGAGGGAGATGACTCTCCTCACTCTCGGTCATACCAGGGCATTTGGGGGCCTATGTATCTAGTTCCGTACAATATTATGGACTGGGAAACAAGTTCAGTAAAATGCATTCCCAATATCAATATGATAAGCATGAGGACATTGATGTTTTTGCGCCCACATCTTGACGTAAGGAAGTGATTTCAAGGTCTTAGTAGTGTAGTGATCTTAGTTGCAAAAGTCCTATAAAATTCGACGTGTTTTGAGTTAAATATATATTGGCAGGGTACATGAGCGCGTCTGCCTCAGAACAAGTAGCTGTTCCGTCATTGAACATTAGCTTGGCTAGTTAACGTAGAATCATAGTAAGAAAGGTAGAGAAGCGAAACTTAGAAAAGACAAAAGATAATGAAGATAGGATTTAAAATAAAAACGAAGGACTGGGGGTATTATGAATACAATGAGATATTAGGCGTAAAAGCTCTTTACCTTATACATCAATCCGCTATCCCAGGAATTTACGAACATAAATATCCAGCTTTATTTTAAGGTGGTATACTGAAGGAATTTAGGTCCGATCTGTAAGGACAGCGCTTCACATAGCACAAATTACGAGTGTGACAAAGCTAAATTGTACTTTAGCATTCTCTATTCAGTGAGAAACTTTCCTTAGGATAGTCTCGCAGATTAGCGTAAAGACTTTCAGGTTGGATTACTTGTTATGATAACCTGGGCTACTCAGTGTTGTGAAACGTGATGAGATATCTACTTTTTTGTAGTTAATCGGAAGCAGCTTCGACCCGCAGTGCTAGTTAGCCCACCAATGCTGAAGCCTCTCTTATTCGCATCTTTATGCTTGCTCATAGAGAACATATTCAATATCAAGAAAGGAGAAACGACATTGTGGGCTACAGGATGACATTGATTACACAAGCATGGGGGCCTGATGACAATAAACTGAAATCCAGTCTTAAAGGCTTGGGATTCCTAATCTTCATATACAGATCATTGGGAAATTAGCGGATTGAATGTAGAAAGCCGGTAGGGCATTTCAATTTACTATTGACTACTAGAAATTTTCTGTTCAGTGGTATAATAAAGCTAATCTACTAAAACATTGGCCAATATTTAGTCCTAAAGTGAAAAAAGTCCCAAATTCATCTACAAAGTTAAGGAAACAAAAACCTGTCAGTTTATTATCACTACATATAACAGACATGTCCTAAGTAAATAGGAGAATGATGGAAGCGATTGAAGACACCTGAAAATGCTTGGGAAAACATTTACGAAGATTTAGCAGTTAATAGGCAAGTACAAAAGCTCATTGTCTTTTTTAGCAGGGGCTAGCCGCTTTTAGGCAGTACTCTAGTGCAGAACGCACTGACATTGTACAAAGTTAAAAACGTTTTGGTGTCGACACGACTAAAGGCCCCACGTATTGACTATAGGGTTTTTAAACCTCTGGCGGCCACTGCACGGCAGTATGCAGTAGTTTTCAAGTCTTGACTAACGATGACTACTAAGTCATTGTGTGTCTGGACAACATGTAGCTCAATGCTATTCATCATCTATGACTCTGAACCTTGATGACCAATATGCATCACAATACACTTGAAAGTATTTATCGGTAGCTGTCAAGTTTGAGACCGTTCGTATAATTTTACAGGTCATCTTGAAGTTCTAAGCTATCACTTTTACTTTTTATCACTCTCAATATCTTGATATCGTCAGTATACATCAAGCCCGATGATGATAGGAAACGAGTAATGTAATTTAAATACAAGAGGAATAACACTTAACCCGCTGTTAACTTAGTCTAAGGCCTTTTGGGACGAATTTATTGTGACATTTATCCTTAATTTGCGAAGCTTTGTGTGTAACCCAACTTATATTCAACATCTATTGCTCATCTCTTTCAATAAAAAACGAAAGAAACTGACGGACTAGTACTCACCGTGCCTTTATTACTCAAATAAACGCTATCTCAGTCATCTGTTCATCTTTTGTCATCGGCCGCGACACGTAAAGTCCTTTTAGGCCGCTCTTCACTAGGTTGGAATTTTGGCGCGGACTGTTATTTCAAATGATTCAAATGGTTGTGGACGGAATAGAAGAAGCTTTCGCTTAACAGGCTTCCGTGTCTAGTAGCAGGGGATCACGAAATCCTCCAGGCAGGAACCTAGGTATGTTAACAATAAAAGAGGAAAAGAAATTGGTAAATCATAGTGTGATGCTGTCCTTGGTCCTTAAGAATAGGTCAAGTTGCCTCTTGAAGGACTCCTGAGAAGTCGCTTGGACTAGCTCGGCTGGCAGCGAATTCCAGATTTTGACAACTCTTAAGGAGGAGAAGTTGTGTCTACATTCCGTCTTGCTATGTTGTGTTTCCAGTTTATGGGTGTTACCCCTTAGGTTATTATTCGAACTAAGCTTAAGTAGGTGTTTAAGAGGATGTCCAGAAGTGTTAAGAATACTATAAGCCATTAATAAATCACCTCTAGGACGCCTATATTCTAGTGGGTAAAGGTCTAGTGAATGGAGGCGTTCTTCGTAAGGCTTAGATTTGAGTCCTCGAACTGGTTTCGTGGCTCGCCGTTGGATACGCTCTAAAGTGACCTTGTCCTTTTGGAGTGAGGGGGGAGTACGATGTTTCCGTACTCTAAATGGGGACGGATGAAACTATTGAAGATTGTATGGAAAGTTCGTCCGTCAAACTGTCCAAAATGCGCTTCAACGTCACCAGTGCAAGGTTTTCTCAGGAGGCATTTTTGTCACAGTTAGCGTAAGACTTTAAGTCATGGGGCACCAGGACTCCTAAATCTTTTTCGACTTGGGATACTACGAGAGAGGAGTTTCCTAAGTTGTAACTGTAGTTTGCGACATGTCGCAGATGGACTACTTTACACTTTGAAGTGTTAAAGGTAAGTCCGTTGTCGTCTGCCCAACTTTGAAGTCGCGTCAGATCCTCCTGAAGTGCCTGTGTATCGTCTTGGTTGCGTGTCTCTCTCTCCAAAGTTTCACGTCGTCGGCAAAAAGTAATAAGTCCGACGTTACCTGTTGAGGAAGATCATTTATGTAGATCAAGAAGAGAAGAGGCCCTAGTACTGAGCCCTGGGGGACCCCACTAGGACATTCCATAGCCTGAGATAAAGTAAAATTAACCCTAACCTTAAAGTGTCGATTTTTTAGGTATGAAGTAAGCCAGTCGATTAGAGGTGGTTTGATGCCTAGTCGTTTGAGCTTGTTGATAAGACACAAATGGTTAACCTTATCAAAAGCTTTTGAGAAATCAAGGTAAATGACATCAACCTTTCCCTTGCAATCGAGGATGCTTGTCCATCTGTCCACCGCAGTCAGCAGGTTGGTTATACAAGAGTAACCCTTCCTGAAACCATGCTGTTGAGGTGAGAAGAAATTTAAGGACAGTAGATAGTCGTTTAAACCGTCGCATATCAGGGACTCCATGAGTTTTGAAGGTAATGACAGAAGAGCCACCGGCCGATAACTTGAAGGTTCATTGCGTCGACCAACTTTGAAAATTGGTGTGATGTGAGCCAACTTCCAATTTTCCGGTAATTTGCCTCGGCTAAGCGAGTGTGAAAACATCACGCTAAGCGGCGTTGCCAGGATTGAGGCTGCCTCCCTCAGTATGGCAGGATGAACCATATCCGGGCCAGGAGAAGTGTCAAATCTTAAGTGCTGCAGTTTCCGGAACACCAAGTCAGCGCTTAGGTCCACTTCAGAAAGTCCTGTGGAATTGCAGATGAAACTGTCGTCAATAAAGTTGATGTCAGCCAGTTGAAATGTTTGAGAGTAATGTGCCGCCAGAAGGTTAGCGGCGTCGCCATCATTGTTGGTCGGGCAACACTTGTATCGCGTTACGCCGTCAGTGCCACCACGTGCAGAAGAACCTTCGTTAATTAACTGAACTTATTTGCTGCTATTATCCAAATAGGAGCTTACACATAACACTCATTTCACAACAATTTTTTATCATTTCTGTGATTGGGTATGCCATTGTAAGTACTATTTGCTACTGTTTAGCTTTATTCATGGACAGGCAACTCATTTTTTTAGTCTTAATGTCTTTCGATATGTTACTAATAAATTTGGGCATTGTTACGTCTTACATAATTTCTTTTACTAAGATTTACCATTTTTGGACAGTTTGACGGACGAACTTTCCATACAATCTTCAATAGTTTCATCCGTCCCCATTTAGAGTACGGAAACATCGTACTCCCCCCTCACTCCAAAAGGACAAGGTCACTTTAGAGCGTATCCAACGGCGAGCCACGAAACCAGTTCGAGGACTCAAATCTAAGCCTTACGAAGAACGCCTCCATCCACTAGACCTTTACCCACTAGAATATAGGCGTCCTAGAGGTGATTTATTAATGGCTTATAGTATTCTTAACACTTCTGGACATCCTCTTAAACACCTACTTAAGCTTAGTTCGAATAATAACCTAAGGGGTAACACCCATAAACTGGAAACACAACATAGCAAGACGGAATGTAGACACAACTTCTCCTCCTTAAGAGTTGTCAAAATCTGGAATTCGCTGCCAGCCGAGCTAGTCCAAGCGACTTCTCAGGAGTCCTTCAAGAGGCAACTTGACCTATTCTTAAGGACCAAGGACAGCATCACACTATGATTTACCAATTTCTTTTCCTCTTTTATTGTTAACATACCTAGGTTCCTGCCTGGAGGATTTCGTGATCCCCTGCTACTAGACACGGAAGCCTGTTAAGCGAAAGCTTCTTCTATTCCGTCCACAACCATTTGAACCATTTGAACCAATTACAAGGTCGTCTCTGATTTATTGGATATTGTAGTGTCTTGTGGTGGCAGATTCGCCTTACCAAGGTCAGTGTGTATATTTTGTGGTCGTATCTTTAAAATAGATATAACCTACAAATGTCCAGCAATGTGTAGAATAGTCATTATAGAATGTTTATGTTGTAGTTACTAAGCATGATATCATCGTGTGCATATACTTGTAGAATCTAATGAACACTTATGATATGCGAGACCATGACTAACAAATATTCTGTGATGACTATTCCTCATTTAGTATGTTTTAACATAATAAACTTTTCTTTTTTGATAGCAGTCGGTGGGTTTGCTACAAGATGAGTGCTGAAAAAGATGTGGATCAAATTGATACGCCGGATTCTGTGAAAAATGCTGTTCCAAATCATGGATATTCTCTTCGTAAGGGCGACTTCGCCCAACGGCCCATGTCCATTAAAAAGTTTCTCGAGCCTTTCGACCACAGCAGCTTAACAAATAATGAGGCTGGCGAGAAATATGCAGCCTATAAAGCAAGTTTCGCTCGCCAACAGTTGGAAGAGTTTTTCGAAAGGAACAAATCGTATGCTTGGTATGTGTTTCTATTTACGTTGCTCCACAAATTCTTTATTGTATTCATATACAGAGCCATTCTCTCTTTGATATTTCAATTTAGACAGAAATTCGACGTTCAACAATAGTCGAAAAGCTATAAGCCTCATCTAGGTCGTAAATTTCTGGCTTTAATCCACCATCATGTAGTGAGATCGGATATACTACTTTTAATTTCACACAAAAAGGTTTTTCATGGTAGATTATTGCGCTGCGATAGCCTGCTAGTATTCTTTGACTTCTAAATTGACAATCCTACCCTGATCATGCCAAACTAACACTGGTTACCATCTGACAGCTCGTAAACTATGAACTTTTCACTAAATTGCCCGAATCACCCCATACAACCCATATGAAATAAACCATAGGCTCTTTTAACTATCAGGATGTTTTAAGGACCATATAAGTTGCTACTATTGACAAGTGAATGCTAAATAACACCTTACTAGCCTTCGCAATAGTCATCCTCATCGCATTTGCAATACTATTGAAATACTTTCTGTATTACATTCTCCAAAATGTTAAAATACGTTTAATTAAATTTCATTAGTGGCGTTTGCTATAAACCAGCCGTTCATGATGTGAATTATTAATCCATATTACTTTAAGATTAGAATATTTAACTTGTTTGTTGAAGTCTGAGACTTTTGTGAGCTAACGAGGTTTTGTGTGATTTTACTCCTAAGAATATGGAAAGTCAATGCATCTCATAATTCGTACCCAAAAATATATTACGTCATTATATCACTGTGCATGCTCCTCTTACACTTCACTTTAATATAATTGTTTAAATTTATTCCATATAGGTTCCGCGAGAAATATCATCCAGATTACCTCACAGAATCATCGTCCAGCATGAAGTTGTTCCGAAGACGTTTAGATATTTTTATGGAGTTTTATAGAAATGGTTATTTTGACAATCTACATCTAGCCAGCGGTTATGAAAGTGAAATTGTCCGGCTGTTAGATATGGGTAGGTGGTGTGATATGGATGTTCTCAAGTAAAAGTTTTCTTCCTGAAATTAATAAACCTACCGTGTTCTAAACATTCTTTTGTGTACATGATTTATTGTGTGTAAACTGAGGTCATATCTAAAAACCGACTGGAAAACTTTTTATATGCCACCTCAAGTTCTCTAACCAGTCGTCTGCGTATATATATATATATATATATATATATATATATATATATATATATATGCTCAGAATAGAGCGGGTTAAAATCGCTCTAGAATGTTAGTTTTAGAACATACTAATTATTAGACTATTAGCGCTTACTGGTTCCTCATATACTCATAACGTTAATCAAAATGCTTTTTTTCACTTAGTTCATTTTTCTATAATTGTTTATATTTAATATTTAGTTGCGATTAAACTGGCTGGTGGGACGGAAGAGGACTTTGTTCTTTTGGACAAACTACTCGAAGATAGAATTTCTGAAGATCCCAACGTGATCATTGAGCCATCGAATTTTCAACATACAGAAAATGTTAAACCGAACGACAATATAGTTCAGTCATCAGATATACGAGAAGGACCATTTGATAAGGAGAAATTTGATGCGAGCACTATGAAAAAAGTAAGTACTATTTATTTTAAGTTCGTTTTAATGCTGCGAATTTTAATATTTATAATTAGCGACTAATTAAAGCGAATCATAAAACTGTGTTTGTTGGTGTTTATCAGTACGAACTAACCGCAGTACACAGGGTTATCGGGTTTCGTTCTTACAAGTGTAGTTCGGATAAACATAACATTTCAAAACTCGCACAATATTTTTAACCTCAGGTGATAATGTTTGATGTATTGGTAATTAACACTGAGTTGTTTCTTTTTACTCAATAAGCTTATTTTCAAAGATTTTTTGTCGTTTATTGATAGAGTTATCATATTTTTCGTGTTTGTTTAACAGTAATATGTGTTGCTTGATACTTTACTGAACATGAAATAAGCAAGAAGACTTAAAAATTCATTTTTGTATTTGATTACCATATTATACGTTAGTATTCAGGCTTTTGATACGTACTCAGTGGTTTTCTACTTAGGGAACTGTACGAAAACAAAAATTTATCTGGATATTTTGTTGGGTTTTTTTTCAAACCTAACAACAGTATTATAGTGAAATCAAATTGCTTATGTTCTCTATAATAATGTAGAATATTCGTGTTGTACTATTTAAATTTGGATTAACTTTAATTTGGTTATTTATCCTCTGAAGAAGTGGCTTACAATAAGTCACGAAACGTCAAAAAATCTAATTTTTCTACTCGTTGGGATATTACAAATTTATTATTTTTTTTATAACAATCTACCCAATGCTCAATTTATTCGAAATTATCAGATCAAACCTTGGTAATGATAACTACGATGTAGTCTAACGCTAATCAAGCGAGTGTTCATATGCTTAGCCTTAGAAGGCGTTGGAAATATGAGAGTTAGTGACACTACTATGCTTTGCAAACCAAAATAGGTGAAGTAGGGTTCATTTTGATGCAGGTATATAACCCGGCACTTTTTTTCTGGAGCCAACTATTCACCAGTTCACTGATAAACTCTGAAAATTGGAAATTTGTTTACTAGCATGGCTTTATGTCATAGAGGACAGGATTTTGACTGATATTACAAGTACTAACCTTCAAGGATGTTCTGTAACCCTCGGATACCTTTAGACACCAAAGTGTTATGGTGTTTACAAATTCCAGTCGTGTTTATTTTCGTCCTGTATTATGTATATGTTGATGTAACTTCACATAATGTTTAATATTTTGCTGCCCTACCCGGTTTTCATTATGCATAAACTCATTTGTGGTGCCTACGTCAATAATTAGGCCTTCATTGGGATTTGTCAGTTGCAGGCACTTCCAATATTTTAGGACAATAGATCAAATCTACGAACGCTATCCTCCACAATATTGTAGTATCTTAAATTTTAATCGAATATACCTCATTATGGTATATTAAAATTTACTCTTAACAGGTTTTTAATTATGCATATTTTTATATTTACACATTTCTTTGCAGAAGCCTAAACCAGATTATTGCGATTCTTCAAAAATCCAGAAGCGTAAAGAGTTTAGAATTAAAAGACGTCAAAATAATGCAGATGAAGAGGAGGAAGGCGAAGATAGTAGTTTAAGTGATGATGAAAGTAATGATAGTGGAAGTGATAGCGTAAACAGTCATAGTAGAGATTCCAGTTCAAGTAATAATAATAGTACTAGTGGTAGTAGCAGTAGTAGCGATAGTAGTGACGACGATAATGGTAGCAGTAATAGCAGCAACAGTAGTAGTAGTACTGACGACGATGATGATGATAATAATAATAAGGAACACCAAAGGAAAGTTAGCATATCTAAAAGCAATAGCAGTGATAGCAGTGATGGTGAGACGGTTGTAAAACACAAGAAGAAGCGTTCTAAACTTGTTAAAAATAAGAATGTCCAAGAAAATTCTGGTCATAGTGGTGACCGTCATCGTCGCCGTCATCACCGTCATCATGATGATAATAATAACAATCACGATAATGTGCACAACAAAGTTAATCCCATTTCAACTAACCATTTATATAACAATGATCATAACGACCAACAGAATAAAAGTGATTGTTCAAAAGTAGTGCCTGATGAAATCAACACAATGTCTTCTACGAAATCACCTAATACGACAGGGTCAAATCAATCGAATGAAGTTTATGTACTATCAGGGTTGACAGATCCACCTTATGTTGCTGGTGGTGTTGTTATTAGTGATGATACTCATAATAATAGTATTACTAATGATGGCGAAAAATCTATGGATTTCGATAATCTAACAATAGAGAAATCAGCAGATCCAATAAATAAAGATGAATTGAAGGAATTAATTGTCACAAATGAACAAACTCGTCGACCCATTCATTATACAATTTTACTATTTTTTCCACATATTCCATTCAATATATTCAAACGAGATTTAATATCTGTAAGTTTACCAGTAGTAGTTGCTTTTTGTATAATCCACGTGTTCTGGAATTTTCGTTTAAGTTCATTGAACAACTCAGTCGGTCAGTAACAACGTAGAACTTCGTACGTACGTACATCAGTTCGGGTTTCCACACCAAATTGAACAACTAGTCACAACATCACAGTTACTACAGTTTTGAAAAAAATGTTTCTAGGTAAAACTCAGCAAATTGATTGAAATTAAAAGGGTATGAAATACCTGAAACGTCTGTATTGTCGAACATATATAGAAACGCTTAACTGACCAAAAGTTTCTTTCATGCCACTTTTTCCTTAGATATATGTATACCTCATACTGTATATTGTAATAAAATATTTACGTTTGGATAACTGTAAATTCTTAGGATGGAATTAGTGCTGACAATTGTCCCCCTAAGTATTTTGTTATGATATGCAGTGTCCGAGTCTGATGCTGATACACAAAACCTACGTTATGCTAACCTCAGAAAGCTACTAAGTGAGAAAACGATGACTGAAGAAAGTTTGCCGGTGTAAACCAAATCGAATGAATAACTTACGCCTGTTATTCCTCATGGAGGAGCATAGGCCACCCACCAGCATTCTCCATCAAACTCCGTTTTGGGTAATCCTTTCCAGTTGCCATTCACTCTTTTCGTTTCTGCTTCCAGCCCTATACGCAGTGTGTTCTTTGGCCTTTTTATTCTCCATTCCCCTTCAGAATTTCAAGTTGGCACTTACCTCGTGATGCGGTCTGTTGATTTCCGTAATGCATTTCCTATCCACCTCCACCACCTTCCTCGAATTTCTTCAGATAGAGTTGTTCTCTCCCACAATAGATTGTTGCTGATGGTATCTGGCCGACGGGTACTGAGTATCTTGCGTAGACAATTGTCTAGAAATACTTGTACTTTTTTGATGATAGTTGTAGTAGTTCTCCAAGTTGCAGCTCCGTACTATAGAACTGTTTTGATTCTAGTTTTGAAGATCCTGACTTTGATATTAGTTGACAGTTGTTTTGAGTTCCATATGTTCTTCAACTATAAGAATGCTGCCCTTACTTTGCCAAACCTTGCATTTACGTCTACATCGGACCCTCCTTGTTCATCGATGATCCTGTTCGGATACGTAAAAGTTTCTACATCTTCCAGAGCTTCTTCATCAAGTGTGATTGGGTTGGTGTTCTCTATGTTGTATTTGAAGATCTTGCTTTTTCCCTTGTGTATGTTTAGGCTTACTGATGCAGAGGCTGCTGTTATTCTGGTTGTCTTCATCTGCATATGTTCATGTGTATAGAATAGAATGACCAGGTCATCTGCGAAATCCAAATCTTCTAATTGATTCCGATCTCTTCGTTGTATTCCGTGCTTCCCCTGAGTTGTTGAGGTCTTCATAATCCAGTCAACCAACAGAAGGTAAAGAAAGAGCGAAAGTAAGCAGTCTTGTCTGACTCCGCTTTTTACTTGGGATGCGTCTTTCATCTGTCCTCCATGCATGACTTTGCAGTGTAGTTCGTTGTATGGATTCTGTGTGATATTGACGATTTCCTCAAGTAAGTCGTAGTATCAAAGAAGTTTTCATAAGGTTCTATCCACATTGTCAAATTCTTTCTCATAGTGACTGAAACTGATGTATAGTGACGAGTTCCATTCAATTGGTCGTTCAACGGTGATCCGTAGTGTCGCGATTTGGTTTGTGCACAAGTGATCCTTACGGAATCCAGCCTGTTGATCTCAAATTTGGGTGTTTACTGAACCTTTCATCCGGTTCATATATATATATATATATATATATATATATATATATATATATATATATATATATATATATATATATATAACATGCTCTTGTCGTTGGGAGGTTTTCGATTGGCAAAACATTTCCATCTCACTTAGCAACTTTTGATTGGTTCACTCTATCACATTCCTTGTTTTTTTCTGGTTATTTTATAAGGGATCTTTAAATTACTTGGAATTAGACTACCTTAACATAAGTTTTAGAATCTAGTATGGCTTATACATAGTAACTTTGTTTTGATATTACCATTCTTCTAATCGTCAGATTGTTTTTACTAATTTTATTGTCCTATCCTGTTTTAAATTTTCTAGGTACTTTCCACTTGTCCACATTTCTTACGTTTAGCTATCTTAGATCCCGTTATCATGCCGGATACAGTGTCATCAATAACAGATGATCAAATATTCGGTAGGGTGAAAAATCCTATGCCTAAAATTTTACTAAAACGTATGGGATGGGCATCATTTACTTCACAGTATATAGACGATGTTAACAATAAGTGGATTAGTATAGATTTAATCGCTATAAAAAATAAATTAATTGAATACGCGGTTGATCGTGAAGCTTCAAGTGATTTAATTGAGTGTTTACGTTTGTCGCGACCAATTTTGGATCATTTGAAAGTACCACATGAAGAACGTGCTCGAAAGACTGGACATTTGTTCGATAAGTTATTAAGTGTATGTCCAACTCGTATTCGTTCAAAAGCTTTAGCACGTCGTCATCTAGTGATAGCAGCACGTGTTATTTATGATTTCGACAAGGCTAGAGGTTTGTGGTCAACAACAGAGTATGATACTAATGATAATAGAAAGAATGATAACAATATGTCAGCAGATAAAGAAGTGGGGAAAGGAGAACATATCAACTTGAGACGTCATGGAGAAGTTTCCTCTATCGTTGACGATGGTGAAGAAGAAGGTGAAGATGGTGGCGGTACTACTACTAGTGAACAAAAGGAGAAAATTTATAAAGAGACGTTGACGATCAATAAATTGTCTCTTCAAAATAACTTAAGCGAAAATGATATCAATCATTCAAGTAATCAAGATCGGTCAATGGATATAGATCAATCTCTTGAAAATGAAGAAACAATGGGTAAGGAATGATTTTCATTCACTTGTATACTATTTTTTATTCACTTTTAGTATGTAGTAATTGGTCACGCTAATTTTGGTTGCAATAATATGAAGGCTATAGATAATAATTCTAACTCGTTTATCGCCATCGCATAAACACATCCCAACTGGTGTTCAACAATTTACGAAACACTATAATCATAATGACGATGGTGATGAAGTAAAAAAAAAACATTTTGTTTGTACCATCTTCGATATTTAAATCAAAAGTGAGGTTGTTAAGAAACGTTTAAAGCAATAAGAAATTGTTCAAAATTACCGATAGACAACTTAATTTTGCATATCATTGAGTTTTCAAAGAAAATAAACTATACATTCGTTAAAACCTTTTGGAGTACATATTTTGAAATAATTAAAAATCAGTTGCTTGGTTTATTCACTTTTAATATAATTTCAGAATTCATTTATTCTTGAGGTTATTTAATTATACACTGTATTGTTTTGAATCATCTTTTACTAGTAATCCTCACTGTTCTCATTCATCTGTTCACTTAAAATTGATTAATGTAGTGTAGTGCGATGCAGTTGTTGAATTGCTCAATGAAAAATATAATCTAAACTAAAGTTCACTTGATCGTAATGTTAGGTTTTATAGATGATCGACTCAATTCTTTATATTTTTGCCAGTCAGTCAAGCTTAAACAACATATGATCTAGCAAAAATACATTTCTCCAGATTTTTATAATTTGCGTTAGTAGAGTTAGCATGAAAAATGGGAAAGTTCAAAAATTATGTTTACAACAAAATTAAAAGAAATGACTAGAAAAATATTTAGTCATACTTTTTTAAAAGTTTATGGGAACATAAATATTAGTATGCTCCACTATCACAAATTATGAGCAAGTCTCTAAATACACAAAACAGTTATATGAAATCTGTATTTCTCTGCACTGTTTAGGACAATCCTTAATGGTTTTGGGAACTAATACGGTGTTTTGCTTTGTCTATCTAATATTTTCAACCTGATTTTATCGTAGCCAGCTTACTGAGTCAAGTTATTGGCGGTTTAGCATACCTAACAAACCTTTCAGTCATTCCAACGTTTCAGTCAACGCCAACGTTGCTGGTTAATTGCTTCATTGGTAAAGGATAATGCGTCTAAACGTTTAGGATAAAACATTGGGTATTTGCCCATATCTTCTAACTCAAAAGTCAGTGTTTTATAGCTGTAAGGTAATTCTGAACAGACTGCTCTACCGTACATTCATCTTTTGATATACAGGTGGTCTAGTTTTCATCAGTGGTGATAAGATTTTAGAGATAAATGAGGTGATCAACGCACTTAGTTATCCCCTTATTATGAGACTGGATATCGATATAAACCAATCCTGAGACATTTCGGTTTCGAAAAAGCAAACAAATCTCAAATACCATCAATAAACTGCTTTTAGTAAGTCGTTTCATTGAACAGATATGTCAAAATCATCCTGATGTTAGTGGAGTAATCCAAACTACAATGAGTATTTAGTTTCAGTCGATTTCAGTTAGCAGTTTGAATTTCTCTTTTTACTGTGTTTCATGTGTAACGATTTACTGAAATTCCTAAATCGTTCTGATGTACGAAATAATTATTTTGATATACATATATGCAGAGATGAAGGTTTTTAATGGTAGGCTTTCCAATAATATACCAGTCGTCACCTTCAACGCAAACGTACATGTGTAAATTAATTATTATCCATTTTTTAACGTTCAAATGAAATATTTACTATCGTTGTAAAATTTATTTCTTCACTTCATACACTGTTTTTGTTTTATATAGAAGAACAAAACAATGATTCAGATGTGAAAGAATCATCTCATCAGAAAACACATAAGTCATCATCATTACAAGACAGTAAAAATTCTAGTGACGTATCTATGCTTTCAGATGATGAGAAACAAGGTGATTTTATTGATCCTGGTGACGACTTAATAAAGGCGGCAAATATATTAAATAGTATAAAAACAATAAATCCTCTTCTGCAGGGTTTAACTGATTATCTTGTCGACGAGGGAAATGCTGAAGAAGAACTTCTTTTACTAGGTAGGTGATTTTAAAAATGTTGTCCTTTTTCCTTTTTGTATCGTTAGTTTATTTTCTTTAGTTTCATATGATGTAAATAACAAAGTCGATGGGTGGTGTAGGTAGAATTGTAAAAATTGACAGAACAATTATTCGAAAGAAAAGGTATAATCAGAGGTAAACTATCGAAGTAGAGTGGTTTTTATTTCCTAACTATGATAGATTTTCAGCATTTAGGAGACTTTCCAACGTAGGAGGACATTTCAAAAGTGTTCCTTAAAAGACTGACATCTACTCTAAAGCCTATAATTCATCATTATCATTACTATTAGCTTTGTTAAATATTGTATTTTTGGTTAGATATAGAATTTTCAGCACAAAGTAAGAAATATGTTAAAATCTCAAACCACAGTCTTTGCCGATAACTTGGGAGCTTATAAATGTTTTTCAAAGTTTAAATGCAATCATCATATCGTTGTTCACAAACGGTATTTGTTATGATTTTTAGCCCTTCAAATATCACGTAAATCATAACACCGACTTATATGACCTTGTCCTTGTGGGAGAGAGATGACTCTCCCCACTCTCGGCCGTACCAGGGCACTTGGGGGCTATGAACAGCCTAGGGTCAACTCTGAGGCCTTATTGATCCTCAAAATAGTAACTTCTCGACTAGTTCAGCCCATTCAGTTCAGAACACAATCTCAGCGTCCGCCGTGTGGATTGTTTATTACAGACATATGTGATTTATATACAAACAGACCAGATCGCATCACACTACAAAATAAAAAGCAATAATTATACAAGATCAAGCCAAAAGTGCCTATGAGTATTGGATACTGTAATAAATTAAGAATGGTATAACAGTAGCCAATAGGTTAAATTAAAGTTTATGATAAGTGGAATACGAAAAAATATATGACCTAGTTACTTAATAACTATCTAATAAGGATATATATAATAATATTCTATAAATAATCCCTAACAGTTACCATTCTTTTCTTCTTCGTTTTGATGTAACAGTATTTCGTGGATCCCCAAACAGGAGTTCACATAAATAATATTGAGACCATGTGAGGAAAACTCGAAAATTATCCTTGACCATGAGTAATGATACTTTTTGTTTTAGCAACATGAACAAATGTTTTTTCGATCTCAAACATGAAGTATCTTTAAATGACCTTAAGAAATTTACAAACTATGTAAAAGTCCTTTGGGCTTTTTAAAATTTTTTCTTACTGAAAACCAATCATTTTCATAATTAGTTTTCTGTTTGTCTAAACAAGTAGTTTAATTTTTTTCTGATTCGTTCAAGTTCATTCTTAATTCAACCAGTTTATCTCGCAATTTGTTTTTCTACAGGCTCACAGATTAAAATCATGAGTCAATTGAAGCCAGACCACCATGGAAAACCTGGAAGCACTGGACGGCCGTTTTGTCCTAGTATGAGACTGTTGTGAGATATCAGCTCACTGAAGACAAGGCATACGGTGGCGCAACTTCGTGGATTGGTTGAAGTTAGACATTAACACCGTTGAATGCCGGCTCAGTGGTCTAGTTGGTTAAGCGCCTGGCGCGAGACTGATAGGTCGTGGGTTCGAATCTCGCGGGGTGCGGGATCGTGGATGCGCACTGCTGAGAAGTCCCATACTAGGACGAAACGGCTGTCCACTGCTTCCAGGTTTTCCATGGTGATCTAGCTTCAATTGACTCATGATTTCAGTCTATGAAGTTCCTAAAATCGCCACAAACCCCTTCTGATAATTTTTCTACAATAATTTAATTTTTCTTGTTACTTAAAAAAGATTTTTTTAATATTTATAAATTCACTTTATTTCTTTAGGCGGTATGCAATCTATTTCATTTCAACCATCTTCAATAACAAAAGGAACACTAATGAATAATTCACAAATGATTAATTTACACTCATCATTACAATTACAACAACTTGATATATCTTCACGATTCTGTGAATCAGATGATAGTGAATTATTAGTTGTATTGGATCGTTTAATTTTATATTTAAGAATAGTACATTCAGTAGATTTTTATGCACCGGCATTTTATATGAATGAAGATTTAATGCCACATCCATGTCGTCTTATACATATTCGACCGGGTTTAAATGAAATAACCAAAGCTTTAACACAAGTTAAAAGTCCAGAGAAATTAATCAATTCAGAATCAGTTGATCATGTAAATATTTTATTGTATTATATTTTATTTATCCATAGTATTATTGTTAAATTCACAAAATGTCTTTGTATAATGGTCATAGATATAGAGGAAATTATTGATAGTTGTTTTACATTTTTTGTGGAAGCGTTTCAGCTGTACACATAGACATAAACAGCGATAATCACCCGTTTAATGATCGAGTTGAATGTTGGACCACCTAACCCTTGATGGTATCATAAAACGAATTATGATCATCTCATTTCCCACTGTTCACAATTTTAATTGTACTCAGTTTGTTGTATATCATACAGTGCTATATGTGTCTCTGTACAGTATATTTAGTTTTTTCCAAATGATACTGTTAATATTCATATCCTGATCACGAAGCTAGTTTGTTTCAGATTCAAATACATAAAAGGTTATTAATGTTGATTTTCATGAAGTTTCTGATTGATATCTGCTTGTAATGAAAGCAACCTAACTTACATGAGAACGTTATCATTTTTGAGTTATTTTACAGTTTTTAAATTTTGATATAACATATTAACAATATGGAATAAGTTGGTTCTCAGATCTCATAACCGAATTCCTGATGTCAAAAAATATAATAAACATTTATTAATAATACATGACAATGTCCAAGCATCTGGTGATAAGTTGGAACGTTATGGTTATGTATCTACAACCCGGAAAAAACTTATTTGCGATTTAGTTTTCATAAATATCTTACTATTTACTTAGTTTTTCAAAGCCAAGATTTTAAAAACGAATGTTAAGAGATTGGTACTTTTATTTATGGTTTCGCAGGCTCTTGAAAATGAATATAGCAATTTCTTTATTCAAGATTCATGGAACATTTGTTTTAGTCAAATTTTCAAACCATTTGATTTTTTCCCTAGCCCGATTATCACCCCTAGTTTCAAAAAGATTCTTAACATTCTCTTACACCCTCATAATTTTGTTGTTATATACTCTATATGTAAGTTTCGTAAGTATTTGTGTCATAGTAGAGTGTATAAACACGCGACCGCATGAGTAAATTTCGAGAAGGACAAAGCAAAAACTTCACCAATGTTCGTATCAAAGCTACTCTTGAATTTATAAATTTTCGCCCATTATAAATAGAGTCGAGCAATTTTTTCGTAATCCCAAACATTGAGGAAATTCAAACATTTATGTGTAATTATCAACGTTCAGTGTTTTATGTAAACTTTCTTCGAAGCATCGCTCGCGTTTCATGGAGCGACCAAGTGAGGAATGTTGAAGTTGGGAATAGTGTGTTTGGTAAACGTCGGAAATCGGTTGATAAGACTGTAAATCATCATATAAGATGGTTAGGGCATATATTGCATATCCCCAACGGCTGCCGACCTCAACAAACGATGTTGCTCGGTGTAGAAGTAGGCTGGAATAAAGCTATGGGGACAAACTAAAACGTAGCCTCCGCCCATAAAGTTATTGACCATTAACCCGAACCATGTAGGTAGATGCAGGCTGCTTAGTTGGGCTATGTGTGATTAATGTAACTAGAATGATTGAAGACGAGTGACATAACTCTGAATCATTCGCAATGGCACCGATGCATTCAATTGTTGTTTTTCTCTCGAACTTGAACTCCGGTATCTCCTCACATTTACGTTTTTACTGTCTTTTCAAACCATATTCCAAAGGTTTAGTCTTTCTTTTCATCATTGTTACCACATTATTTCGATCTCGTTATTTGCGTCTCATTCTGCTAGTCTAATATGGCGAATTGGCTCAACGTACTTCTGTGCCAGGCTCTATGTTGATGATGTCTGTCTGTCTATCAATATACTAAGCATTCATTTACTTATGAACAGAACTCATGGTATAGCATTATTTATCAACTTTGATTTCATTTTTTCTTGTGTTGACTCGACGCTAAAAATCCTTAATTTTTCGACTTTTTTCTTTTGGTTACGGTTACAAATCCATGTGGATATTTTATTCTTTGCTAAAATTAATTAATTCTCAAATTTTACAAAATGTTATTTCTCTTACACAATCTAGTTATTTGCCAGTCAAATAAAACGTTTAGTACGACTCATTACTCCGCTCACAGAAAATGATTGTAAAGGTTTGGGTTATAGAAATGCAGATGATGTTGTGGAAGAATTCATAAAATTGAATACACGTCGGAAAAAACGAAAGGCGTATGTGTAAAGCTTATACAAATATGTATTGTTATTATTAATTATTTACTATGAAGTAGGTTTTTTCTTATTTGATGGGGTGAATTTTCGGTTGTTAAAAGGAGACAAAGTATGCTAATGGGTAGATGTTATACAATGTAATGCGATGTGACCGAGTGATAAATGTTCACGAGATCAAATTATTTGCTTATTCCTCTTAATTGGACTGGATTTAGAAAACAAGATAACTACCCAATAGAATAGGTTTTCTTTCCTAACGAAATAATGCGGCTATTGAACACAAAAATAAACATGACAAGAGGTCATTTAACAAGTAAACGATTAGAAGATATAAGTATGGGTCTCCCACTCTCAATTAGAATCAAAGTTTAACTATCAATCTTAATTCTTGCCCTACTGTATCATCATTATGGTCAGTACATACATAGTAAAAATTTGCGACAAATAACAAAGAATATTCATTCTGCAGAATCTATCGTAAAAATGAATTTTCTTTAACAGATTAAAATTGGGCTTTCAAAGTTTTATCAATAATTAGCCTTGTTATCTAGAACAAAATATCCATGAAAACTAAACAGATATCAGTTCTGGTATCAGTTATGCATATGTATTAAAAGCTAGTCACCAATGAGAACACGCTTATTCCTTACAAATGAAAATTAAGTTATTCTTCACGAGGTTATTCTAACTGATGCCAATTCATGACAAAAACAATTTTCAAACTACAAAATTTTTAGTAAACTATTTAAGTAATTGAAACTTATGGTCTGTAATCATAGTGGAGCAATAGCTTAGTGGTTGAGATGTTTGACTTTCAGCCACTAAGTCGCGGAACCAAACTTTGTCCCGCCTAGTATATCTTGAGCCACCCGGTAGTATCACACCAAGTGTAGCTCGAAGCCAAATACAGAAATCTCTACCTCGAAAACGAATTTTAAAATCTATGGTGATAACTAGTTCTTTCCACCCAGTGTATGTGTCAAAGTTTTGTAGGTCAGTTACTGTAATATTTATTTAATATTTTATATTATTTAAGCGATGTGATATGGGTTTGCCCATTGTCAAATAAGAAGTTCCGAGATCCAATCTACGTTAAGAAACATATTCTCAATAAACATATGGAAAAGGTTGAAGCTGCCAAGAAAGATAATGTGAGTTTTTCCTGTCAAACTTGCACAATATGTTTTACACTTTTTTCGTGCATATAATCTATCCGTGTTTATTAATAAATGCGCCATATTTGGTATTTCCATACAGTTAAGATTTCTCCTTTAAATATTTAGAATTCAACCACTAGGTCTCTGGTTCAGTTCACCTTTTATCTACTTCAATTTAAGCGACAGGGCATTTATTACCAGTAGGAATTAGTGCTGAGTATAAAAACTTGCATTATTTTTTCTGGCAAGCGTTTTTTTAGCGAGTTAGTTTTCTACGGGATGGGGACGCTAACCCCATGCCCAACCCTCCTCCTTTACCCGGGCTTGGGACCGGCAGTAACTCTAGAAGAGCTACAGGCGAGGATTGGCAAAGCAAGGGCCGCATTCCTACAATTGAAGAACATATGGAACTCAAAACAACTTTCAACCAATATCAAAGTGAGAATCTTCAATACGAATGTCAAGGCAATTCTACTGTATGGAGCTGAAACTTGGAGAACTACAACAACCACAATCAAGAAAGTACAAGTATTTATAAATAGCTGTCTACGCAAGATACTCAACATCCATTGGCCGGATACCATCAGCAATAGCCTTCTGTGGGAGAGAACAAACCAACTTCCAGCTGAAGAGGAAATTAGGAAAAGACGATGGAAATGGATAGGACATACATTACGCAAATCGTCAAACTGCATCACGAGGCAAGCTCTAACTTGGAATCCTGAAGGGAAGCGGAAAAGAGGAAGGCCAAAGAACACATTACGTCGGATAATAGAAGCAGATATGAAAAGGATGAATTACAACTGGACGGAGCTAGAAAGGATTGCCCAGGACAGGGTTAGATGGAGAACGCTGGTGAGCGGCCTATGCTCCTTCACGAGGAGTAACAGGCGTAAGTAAGTAAGTAATAAAAACTTGCCCTTGGTAACTGGGATGTATTTAACCTATTTGAACTGATGTAAACTTATATATTACACTAATACGTTTGAAATATTATACATTGGCAACATTCTTTTTATTAAGATATAATAGGCTAGTATATATATATATATATATATATATATATATATATGACTACAGTGACTTGACTTCGGTTTCTAACATTTTGTGTTTATTTCTACGTAGGCAAGTCTCACTCATGAGGTGGTTATATAATCACTTTTATAGCTGCATACAAGCCAGTAGTTTCGTATTATCTTACCTTGTTTAGTATTGATGGTTTCATGTTGATTTCCCGTTTTTTTATTGAAAGTCTCTTGTTCATTATTCTCTTTCTTCTATGTACCGGTAACTCGTGTTTTTTTATTTCCATAAATAATCAGTCGTCCATTTTCCAAGTTAATCATTGACTCGGTCCGTTTACTTGATAACTTATCACATGATATGGGTAAACCATGATAATTTCCCTGTTATCTTTCAGGCCTACTTTTTCAACAACTATCTTATGGATCCTGCCCGACCCCAGTTGCCTCCTGAGCCAAGATCTCCTAGAAGGCGATCTCGGTCACCCTCACCATCTCGTCGAACTGCTAGAGAATCAAGTCATCTAGCTAATGAAACCAGTGAACGAGAACGTTCTAATTCTTGGGCACAAGGATCAAATAACTTCCAGTCACAAAGATGGCAGCAGTATGGACGCAATCGCAATGAAGGTGGAAATATGGGAGGGAATTATGGACGGGATAATATACACAGTAACTTACCATTCTACCCTCGACCATATGGTCGCCAACAGTATTCGAATTTCCGAATTCCATATGGTGGTAGCAATCAACGTAGTTATTATAATGGTCCACGAACTGGTGGATATAACTTTAATCGGTTAGTAAAGTGTTTTGTTGACGATTGGTTTAGCTTTTAGCAAGTGTTTATGTACTGTAATTGGTGTGTACTCAGGAAAGTGTACATTCTGTTGTAAATTATGTAGTGAGCTAGTAATTTGCGTAGAAGTTAATTAATTAGATTTGTCGATTATACCATTGAACACCAACCCAGCACCTCATTAAGAGTGAGATTGTGCTCACTACAAGGCCTTCAATTCAGCTCCAAGTTTATTGTCGTGGCTATCCGCTGCCGAGAATTCTAGCACATGTATAAGGCAGCTGCCTCTTTCCACTTGGATTTCAATGCTCCAACAAATGGTGGCAGTTTGTGACGAGAACTAACCCTAAGCATTATTTAAGTTGAACCAAAATGCAAATTTTATATTAATTAGTAGATGTTGACATTTACTTACGATTTGTGAAGCCGATAGCCATCTACTGAACAGAATGTTTGTGGTCCATCGACTAGAGTGTAGGCTAAGATAATTTTTTTCCTTACTTAAAAACACTTGGTTGAGCATAACTCCCAACCGATGAACCACACAATATTGCTAAAACCCAACATTGAATTGCAGATTCCTGCGCTTGACACTATATCATCAATCTTTTTTTGTAAAGTTTAAGTATGTACCATACAGTTACTTCAATATAAAGGAGTAGAACGAGGTTTCAAACTGCTACTTCCTCACTGTTGAGATCTACCATTTAGAACATTGGATCAAGATTTCACAGTTGTTTATTTATTAAGCTTGATGTTATTGAACAAATCAAAATATGAGATCAGATAATCAAATTAAATTTTAGTTCATGTTTGTAAAGTATTTACTCAAAGATCATAAAACTTGTTTTTAGCGAATAGAAATATATATATATATATATATATATATATATATATATATATATATAATCAAAACTATTGTTATTATCAAAGTAAATCTCACAATCTATTTTAGACGTGGCTATCCAAGACGGTCGTATGTTGATCTGGATGCGCCTTGAATGAATATCTCATTTTATTTGTGTGCATTAGATAATGACAAATTTTGTTGTTTCCAGTCCGCAATAATCTCTATGTATTTTGTATATAATTCATATCAAGGAAAACAGCAACTAAACCCAACACTTATCTTTTGTACTCATAACTGCACTACTACTATTCCTCGTAAAATAAATAAAATTGAAAAAATTGAAAAAATACTTCTGTTTCAAATTTAAAAGGGTGACTTCAGGTGTTGCTTAATTGATAATTTCGTATTATTGCAGGAGTACCAAATTTCTTAATGGCTTGTTTGAATGTGTGCAAGTAACGCCTATTTTATTAGGACAGCTTATTAGAAATTATCTTTGTCGTTTAAATATTTGACCTTCACTAGTTAGGTTCCACGCTCTATCCTTTTCAGTTTGAATAGCCGAGCTGTAAACAACTTTCTTACTAACACAAATTAATATTTCGGTGTTCAGTTTTGTCTGTTAGGACTGATCTCAACCTCCAATATCCTGGAGTTGTCAACATATTACCTTTTTCTAATTCCTTAATCATGTCAGTTTCATAAAAGTAGTTGTAACTTTGTCAGTCACTTGATAGAAAGTTCACACGGTCTTGCGGTTTTTTTAAAAATATCTTTGTTCGTCATTCGATCATTAAGTAAAGGTTCTTAATCTGGGGTCGGAATATGTATTGATGGATTGAAGTTCGGATGTAAACTTATAAATTACATTCAAAACGGTCTAGAAAGACAATAATTCTACTTATTTTAGTCTTTAGTGTTCACAAATGACAGTTAGCTGAAGGAAATGTAAAATGGGAATATGAAACTCTAAATATATAGTGAACAAATTTGGAAGATCTGGAGTTTTATATATACCATTCGGCATGCTCCTTAGGAATGGTAATTAATGACCACTCACATTTAATGATCCATTTGTTATTTTAACATTACATCGTATCATTGAGAACAAGAACACAGTACACTTGTTCTGTATATACGTTCTACATTAATTCGTTGATTTCAATAAAAATCAAATTTCATATATAACATTTCTTAAAGCGAATGGTAAAATCACTTCATTTTTAAAATATTCTTGAACCATCACCAATTGGAGGATGTATGAAAGACACTTAACAATCTTTTTGTTATTTAGTCTGAAAATTCGAATCAGCTTATAGTTGGATGCTCCCTAATTTCTTGATGATGCGGAACTTCACCGTCAAGATATTACTCTATTAGCTAAAACAATAACTCACTATTCGAAATTTGTTCATATTATTTCGATTTTGCTGAAAATTCTCCAACGTTTCCAGTGCTTCCTTACTTTACACCAATCTTCAGTGAAAAGTAATCACAAAAAGAAATAAGTTACTAAAAGGAACTAGAAAGAATTCATGTATCTTTATTTTAATCAGAATTTCCAGTGCCCTATTGTCATAAAGAAATGGTCAGTGTGTACATTAATGTTGAAAATTCCTTAAAAAAATTTAATTTGAATAACAAGCAACATGAAAACTAGAGTCGTTAAATAATTATTTTTCATAAATAATCAAATATGGAACGGACTTCTTTGAAAATTATTTGATACTTGGATGATGATTAACTATTCTCATAAAATCCTAAAGATTAGTTCGTTAAAGCAAATAATATATGAATTTGTTCAAGAAACACAAGTTTTTTGAATCGTTTTTTAGTTATAAAAATTGCTTAAAGCACAGATAACATGTAATTTTATCCGTATATGTCTTTGAGCATTGCGTGATGGCTTACTTCAATCGAATGGCCGCTCATACGATTGACCGACGCCACTATCGATATTGTTTTTATCGTTCGGTTGTTTTAATTGATAGTAATCATTGAAGTTATTTGATCTTGGTGTAGTTATTTGCAGCTGCTCATCAGTAACATCACATTCATCCTCAATAACATTGATCAAACCCTGAATTCTTTGTCCAAATGCCGATGCAACTAATTCAGCTTTATGTTTAGCATCTGCAACGGCTTGTTCAACAGCTTCTTTGCTAAAAGTTATTTCAAAATATGGTAAAACTGTTTATTATGAAACTTTTACAACAAGAACAGATTCACATACAAATTGCTAAATAGCTTTTTATTAATTTAACAACATAAATCCTGTTTTTAGATGATAAATAATACTGACTGATAAAAAGTTGCAAGAGAACTGTAAACAGGACACTAAGGATTCGATTTTTGTGTGTATTAATTGAAACATAAGAGACTATCCAATAAGCCACTTATATGAATAGTCCTGGACGTACTCATGACTAGACTTAGGACAGATTTGCCATGGCTCTGAAGAAAAGATGAGACTTATGGACTTACACGAGTTTGGGTTGGGACAGTTGTTTCCCTAAAACACCATACAACTGACTGGCGTTAGAAAAAACATGGATCATTGGATCCTGAATCAGTGGACAAATAGTGTCATCCTCACCTTTAAAAGTCTGTGGTTTGGTAGTTCATAGGATCATTGTTACGCTACATGAATACGCCCAGATACAATGACAAAATGGGTTTCTAGTGCTCCTTTGTTGTCAGATATTCTGCGTATGGTTTTAGTTCATGACACAAACCGTTTTTGAAAACCTAACTCAATGTATCCGATTTTCACTAAAAACTGAAAAACCCCAAATGACTGATAAAAATTCCAATGGTGGTGCAACATTATTTCAATGAAATCGTGAGCCGATCAATCTCCACAACCCTATACTGATAAATATAATTACTTCTGGCGTGCTGTAATTTTGAACCAAGTACTTCGATACCACATTCAGTTGTTGGAGACATTTATGAGGAAGGATCGAAGCAAATGAGTGGTACTAAAGATGTCATTGCCATTAGTTTCAATTCAAAAGAAATGAATTATACTTTATAATGTCTGAAACTAAGACTTAAAAATCCCTGATGTTAACAACAAACTAAATTTCGGCGTCATAGTTGAACTTCAAAACTCGATTCACTGTATTTGCATATATATATTCACGATAACACTGACAATAGGTTTTTTAAAGTTCAAAAAACATGTGCGTCGAGATTTAAGGGCGATTAAATTGATTTCCGGTAAGATTAATATAATTTAAAGATTATAACGCTAGAAATATTTATACTGTAAAGCTTATAAAGACGTAGTTACTAAGTGTTTTCTTGAAGAAACTCCTAGATTCTTAAAATCTAACTCAGAATCCACTCCAAGAATTGTTATAAGATTCTGGAAGTCGCAAGAGACCACAACGCTAGTGCTTTGATTATGTATAAAGTCACAAATCAAAACTACTTAAATGTCTGTTTCTTCAAAGTCAAACATCTACACCGACTGGCAGCTAGTGCAGAATCAAGATAAAGTAAGTAACAAAAATATTTTTTGCAAATCACAATTGAAAGATGGATCTGTTTACCTGTTTTCGTGAAGCCTTACAGACTCATTCTAAAAGAGCTCAAGAAGAAGCGATCTCATTCAGGATGGTCCTTAGGATAATTAATTTTTTATTCAGAAGTCAGTTTGTTATGTCTGGTTTATAATTTGATAGAAGAAATAGTTTGTTATTTGAATAACATACAGAATAAACAATACAGTCATAAAATTTCAACTTGAACTAAAAAATCGTGATGTTATGGAACAAAACTTTTCAAATATCCAAAGCTATTTAAGAATGTTTCCCTGTGAATTTGGCCATAACATAAGTATTACGCTTTCTATATCTATTAAACTTTCTCCTTAAAATGATGCTTGAGTAAAAGCTCAGTTACAAAAAGTTGATGTATCAAGTCAAACTAAACCGAAAAGTTTTTTAATGATACGCTTTCTCTAAAAGGCAATTTGACTTTAAGTAATTCACTTCTTATGTACCTACAGTAAGGATAGACAACTGAATAACTGAGCTGGTCTACATGCAATCACATAGTTTGTTCTCATAGCGATAGCGAAATGCTGATTAAGTCATACTGAAGATCAAGAACTTATGATGTGTTTTCTGCTTGAGTTTAGGTAACTTTTACCACATAGCTTCAATCACATTTGGAATGAGGGTTAAATGTAGTATAATAAATAAGAAACTTCCGGTTACCGTAGTTCAAACATCCGCTTTTTTGAATAGAAGCACTCCACGGTTCCAAGTCTTATATATGTTGGTAATTTGGACTTAAGATATCCTAAAAGGCTTTTCATTCCAGAAATGCATTTCTGGAATGTGACATGTCACATGTCGTTATCTCAAACTTATACACAGCGTTCACACCATTATCTTCTGTGACCGTATCGAAGTGCTCGACAACATTGAACTTCTAAATTTTGCTAAAACAAGACAATGGATAATGTAATTACTTTGAGATGTCGGTTATAAATTACTTGTCGAGTGTATTCAGCTCTTTTTCTTGCGCTCTCTTCAGCTAAAGTGCATGTAGGTTTTTTGGAGCACACTAAGATCTCTACGTTGTAGCAGTCAGGTTCTGAGGTTGTTTCTCCGACACCAGAGACCTTAACTTCACCTGGGTTATGGACATTACCAATTGTCATCCTGTAGTCATGATTCGAAGGTGTGTGTTTACGTGTTCAATGTACAACAATGACCGCTTTATTTGTACTTCAAAGAACAAAATGTTTGGTGGCTTGTGTTAGTCCTGGAGATTATGTTCTGTAAACTAACACAAATTTTGTATTTGAACTTATCAACAGATGGAGCTTCGACCACCTACTCACTTAAGGTATTCCACCTGTTGATGATTATGATTTGTTTAAAAAGGCGACTGTCGGCTGAAAATTACTTTGCTCTGGGCTAGTGAATACTTTTGAAGTTTCCTCGTAAACTATCTGCCTTGGGAGATAAGAAAAAATGATCGTGTTACGGATAAAAATTTGTTTTGATTTGATTCAAAAACGGCAATCAAGTCACTTTTGATTCTTTTGTATAACAAATAAAATAGGTTTAGTTTAACAAGTTTCTGGTCACACAGTAGCTTTATGATCCCGTGAATAAACTCAGATGTGGTTTTTTCAACTTCCTGCTACAGATGAATGCCATTTTTTAAGTAAAGTGCTTATCACTTATTTAAAAGATGGACGAACACTGTATGCAAAATCAAAATTTATTAACGTCTGTATGACCTAAGGCTTTGCATATTGACGAAAAAGTCCCAATATTGAACACTACCATGTGCGGTGTTTTCCAAGTCTTAAATGTTGAGAACTTCTAGAACACTGTGTGTCTGAGCAACAACTGGTTCAACGTAAATTTCTTGTATACGCATCTGCATCTTGTAGATCAGTATGTATCTTAGTCTATCTGGAAGTATTTATGGGGAACTGACAAGTTCTAGACAATTCATTTATTTTCTGTGGTTTATTTTGAAAATCTTGACAAATATATTTATTTTGTATCACTCTCCGTATCTTGATTTTTTCAACTTATAACAAAATCGATGACGGGAGGTTCGGAAGGTCATTTATATTCCGGAGTTATACTTCATGTGAAACGGTACTCTGATGAAACGTTTCCTACATAGACAACTTGAAGTCAATCCATATTTGACATTGGCAATTAACTACAAATAAGTTGCTACTGATAACTATTACATTTAATTTTGTTATAGTCCTTTATGTTGGTTTTCAATAAAGGCCTAAATTAAGTCAGTGAAAGCTGAATCTTTGGGCAACGCATTGAAAAAGTCGCCGTCTACTAATATGTTTTTGTGACGAAAAACATGTTTGATCTGGGTTGATATAACACAATTTTTGACACCCACGTGGAAATGAGTATTCGAAGATGCATAATCACTTACTCGGGAGTGGGACGTAATCGAGGTATGTGATATCGTCCTCGTAATGGATCGATGTAAAACTCGGCTACGACGATTCGTGTTGTACGCAACCTTTTCGTTCATATGTTATACCAGCTAACTTCTAATATCTGAGTCTTCAAATTTTCTACAGTCCGTTGATTCTGCTGGTTAGATATCAAACTACTTGAAAGCCAATAGCTGAGTCTTTTTAGCAAGACCTTTTTCACCTTACAGTTTGGACTGAGATTAGTTAAAACACTCCTCAGGCCTCGTTCTTCGCATTTCAAGCGGCTACTAACTAATTCTCACATTTCAATTTCATTGGGCAAGTTATCGATTACGACAAACAGAACTATTCCTGCTCTTTTATACTTCTGATTTCTGTCGTATCCTACCGGTAAGGAGTTAATAAGATCACGTTCCCTACTGTGTTCAACATGTTTCAATGATACTCGGTCCAGTAGTCTCTCTTTAAACTAAGCTGCGGTTTCTTGTTAAGAAGACTTCAGGCATTTGTGGAACAGATGTTAAGACAAACCACTTGACTTCGTAAAGCATTCAAAGAGGCACAGTTGATTTTGAAGGCTTCATAACCGAAAAATTTGCAATTCTTTTCCAGCCTAGTTTTTTAACATAATCACTCGGCAACAGGTTTATTTGGACATTTATTCCTGACTCTCAATCATTTTTCGTTTTGTGGAGTCAGAACTCTGTCCTTTTGAACTTTACTTACTACCTTATATATCTTAGTATGAGTTTCCTTCAAGTTTGTTTTCTAGGTACGCAGTTTAAAAACATTTAGTAGAGTTGCTCTGGAGATGTCTTGAGTCCTTAGTTGACCAAACTGATTTTTAATTTATCCAATATCACGCCTTAAACAAGTTCTTGGAGTGACGCTTTTAGTTTCCTTGAGCCTGTGGAATATAACTGATCCATCACTATAACGTCCATCAATTTTGCAATTAAGGTTAAGGAACTGTCTGTTAGTTGATAACGTTGTGTCATTTCCACATATGGTTTACTGTAGAACACGACCCCTCAGATCGTCGACAATCCCCCAAAACCCAACACTAGGTATGACGCAACTGTTATTGCTTCTACCAGCACCTATGACGAATGTGTAAAGGTTGTAAGGAAGAAAAGTATTGATATAAAAGGGAAGCCTGTCCCCGTAAAAGTGGTTGAAAAATCGAAAGCTGATCATAGCGACAGATCAGCTATTTTTCATAGAATTAAGGAGAGCGATAGCTCTGAACCTAAAGCTCGTTTTGAGCATGACATTGTACTGATTAGGCAGCTGCTTAATCAACTCATGCCTCAAAATATGACTGGGGTCACCTTGCTAAAGGTGTACAGACTAGGGAGTCTAACGGACTCGAAACCAAATCATTCCAGACTGCTTAAAGTAGTATTCGGCTCTTCAAACCAACGTGACCTAATTTTACAAAATGGACACAAATTAAAGGGTTCAGGAGTCTATATCCGAAAGGACCTACTGTTGGCAGACCTTGTTAAAAGACGGGAAGTCGAGAAAGAACTACAACATAGGTTAGACGCTGGCGAAAAGGACCTGAAAATTGTAAATTTTCGGGTTGTAAGACTTCGACAGAGAATGATGCCGAAGCCACTCTGGGTGAAGCACGAAGGCACTTAAACAGGCTTCGGATCTGTTACACCAATGCACGAAGCTTACTTAATAAGCGATCGGAACTAGGTGTACAGATTGACTCTACAAAGCCAGATATAATCGCAGTAACAGAAACCTGGCTGACACAGGCTATAGATTGTATAGAACTTGATTTCGAGGGCTTTACGTTAGTAAGGGCCGACAGAACACAAAAGCGCAAAGGAGGGGGAGTAGCTCTATTCATTAGGAATGCTATCCCATTTACCATTATCGATAGTGTATCCCATGAGAGTGGGACGTGTGAATTAGTTAGTCTTCGCTTAAAATGCAAGGGACAAGAGCTGCTGATTGATTTGGTCTATCGCAGTCGAAGCTGTGAGGCAAATGAGATCCTGTTAAGCAGTCTCAATACTTGGTCCCAAAGTGGTCGATGTCTAATCCTAGGGGACTTTAATGCACCTATGGTAGACTGGGAAAATCTGCGAACTAAATCGTCGGAGAATTCTTTCGAGCAGGAACTAGTTGATGGGGTTATCACATGTGCTCTAGTGCAACATGTGAAAGAAGCGACAAGGTACGATCCGGACACTGAATCATCCTTATTAGATCTTATACTGACTCACTATGAGGATGATGTTGCGAACCTCCACCATATGCCACCCTTAGTTAAAAGTGGCCATGCAGTTTTAACTTTCGACTTCCATATAACTGCCAGTCATGAGGACGCGTCAGTCCAGTCCAGACCCAACGTCTGGAAAGCAAACATACCAGACATCATGCACTCAGCATCGTTAATAGATTGGACAATAGACCCAGAGTCCTCCATTGAAACGGCCTGGGACGCATTTCGAAAATCATACTTAAAAGTTACCACACCTCACATCCCTTGGACTATACCAAAGGGGCCGAAAAACTCACCGCCATGGTTCAGTAGGGAGGTCCGTATCCTTCTCCGTAAGAAAAGGAAAACGTGGGATAGATTTAGATTACTGGGGACTGATGAGTCAAAATCTCAGTATCGAAAGGCTCGGAACACTTGTGCCTCGACCCTCCGTAAGTCTAGAAAACTGTACGAAGAAAAACTTGTTAAGGAATCCATAGAATGTCCTAAACGCTTGTATTCCTATAAAAACCAAAGGACAAGGAGAAAAGGAAATATTCCTGCTCTATGGGGAGACAGTACTGCTTCATCATTAGTGGAGGACGACTTTGGTAAGGCTCAAGCGTTCTCGAACTACTTTAGCAACGTGTATACCATAGAAGCGCCCTTCTCGTCAGCGTATACAGATCCCCTCATACATACACTGGATAGCGTGACCATTAAAGAACTCGATGTCTTTAGTCTGCTAAATAAGCTTGACATAGGTAAATCCACGGGGCCCGATGAAATACATCCTAGGTTATTGAAGGATTTATCTAACTTCGTTGCAAGCCCTTTAAGTACATGCTTTAACCTATCCGTTACGCAGGGTCGCTTACCGAAAGATTGGAAAAACGCCATAGTAAGTCCTGTCTTCAAAACAGGCACGAAACACAAACCTGAGAACTACCGTCCCGTTAGCCTAACTAGTGTGGTTGTTAAAATATTAGAAAAGATTATTCGGAAGGAGCTGTTTAAGTATCTCGATAAAAACCGGATCCTCTCGGAGAAGCAGCACGGCTTCAGGATAGGTTATTCTTGTCTCACTAACTTATTAGTGGCTCGTGAAAGCTGGTGAGCTCTTAAGGACCAAAAGCTACCTGTAGACGTCGCCTTCATTGATTTCAGTAAAGCTTTTGATAAAGTTCCGCACAAGCAGCTGTTATATAAGTTAAGAAATGTCGGGATTGGAGGTACTTTATTGATGTGGATAAAAGACTTCTTAGTTGGGCGTCAACAAAGAGTAAGGGTGAACTCCAAGTTGTCTAGCTGGGAAACTGTGCTTAGTGGAGTGCCCCAGGGTACAGTTTTGGGGACAGTGCTATTCCTTTTGTATGTAAATGACCTTCCTTGTCTCCTATCATCATCGGTCTTGCTATATGCTGACGATGTCAAGATATGGAGAACGATACGATGTAAGAGTGATAGCTTAGAATGTAGAATTATGGTCTACTATGATATTAGTACTGCT